CGTGGAGGTTGGTACCTGAGTAGACCCCAGAGGCCACGCCTCAGCTGAATAGCCGAGACAGCTGATATTTAGACGCATACCTACTTTTGTGCTAAGCCCTAGACCCTATAATAGTGGTTTCCATATCATTTCCTATGTTCTTGCTATCTCATTTTCAATGATCGTGCCCTATGTCCCAAGGGTTTCAGGTATTACTCATAGTCGCCATGTTTCGCCGTGGCCTATTCTAGAATATCTGCTCTTTCCACACATGCTTAACCCAGACATGCGCCTGAAATGCAGCGGCTGCGAGAAGCGCAGGATTGCATGGCTCGACGAAGGAAAGTTTTTTTTTGGTTTTGGGTTTGTGGTCTAGGGGGTAGGATTCAGGGCTTAGCGTTTTGGGTTTGCGGTCTAGGGTTTAGGATTTCCGGTTTAGGGTTTAGCAGGCTCCGTTCAAGGATCAGCTCCGCCCGCTGATGTAGATAGCGTATGCTTGTAATGGATAGGGAAAAGGAAGCACCAATATGATGCTTACGGCGCACATTGTCTTGGTATTGGCAGATTAGATTCAACCGTTTTTTTCATTCAATTGTATTCGGTTCGTTGGTAATTCTTTTGTCCTCTTGTGCTGGGGATTTTGCACTCAGCTTCTGTTGTAATTCGCGCGTAGTGCAACTATGCGGAACGTCGGGCGCAGCAGGCTGCTGCAAACAGCATCCGTCCACAACACATGACGAGAGGTTCGAAATTTGCAAACAGCCTGCAACAGTGGGACGGCGCGGTAAACTGTTGCAAGGTGTGCCCATGTATCCAATATGCTCACTCTCCCTCATTTGAGCTATAGTCTAAACTCCTAATATCCCCCTCAATAACCCATATTCCCCTGTAAATTCCCTATATAAGCCCCTTTATGGAGCTTGAACTACAGCTCATGTAAGGGCGGTGCCATCAGCAGAGCCAGTGCGGCCTCAAGGTTCATGCACAAGGGGGTAGGGTTCAGGGATTTGGGGGTTTGGGGTTTAGGGTGAGCATTTCTCAGGCCCAGCCATTCTTGATATTTGACTGAAGGCTGCAACTCATTTCACCCTGATATGAAATTCCACCGCGCGTTTAAAGTACATTGCCTACCACCCTTCAGTTGAATCTGGGTCTGGGTAGGGCTTTGGGCAGGCCAGGGCTGGTGTTGGGTTTTGTTTGGGGGGGATAGGTAGGACCCGCCGGTAGGGATTCCTGCCTGCCCCATGCTGCTCTTCAGACACCTGTCTCTCAGTCTCAGCATGCCCTCCCCCACACTACCCCAAGAAGGGCCCTATGAGGACTGCTGGATCAGCAAAAGAGAGAAAGTGGCCTTTTCGGAATTCCATGTACTGTTGAAGGGCACATGGGGGCCCGACGATCTGCTGATGCCATGCGACCTGAGTTGCACAATAATATAGTGGGAGCAATCAGTATATAAGGATCCTGGCTAGTACATTCCCACTGTATCCCTGGAGTTCCCTGTTTGGGTTCCCATTAAGTCCCTCTATTATGGGGAGCTTCCGAACCGCCCCACTCATATTAACCCCTTCCACCCATTAAGGTTCCGCTTTAGACCTTTGGGGTCTTTGGGGTGTAGTGTGTGGGGGCGGGGGGGAGAATGAACCCATGAAGGTTTCTTGAGAAAAGGAGCAGGAAATCTGGGATAGATGGGGATTGCAAATAGATATAGGTGCCTTGAGGACTGCACGGAAATCCATTGACACTTCCAAATGAACGTTTAATTCGGAGGTATAGATCGGAAAAGGATCCCAGCATTCTTGCCAGCTTGCAAAGGGACAGTGCCACCAACACCTCCCCAACAATCAGGGGCTACTAGCAAGATATACCCCTGTATTGCGCCATATTCAAGCACAATCACAACCCTTTTGCTGCTTTTTAATTGGGGGCCATGCCCAGTTTGTAAATTCCAAACAGCAAGTCATGGACGCTAGAGGTGCGTCTCAGAAAACGAGTAATGCTTATGTGCAGAAACTCGTGAAACTTGTGCACTGGGCTCCTAGGCCGCAAGCCCATTGCCCGAATACCGCCTATGAGAACGCACCTCATTAGAATTCCTCCTGTAATCCGTATGTGCTGTCAAACTCGCCACGAGTATCCTCATTTGTCCCGGCTTGTAATGCCAAACAAACCCCTAAACCCTGAACCACAATATCTTCCAAAGGCCGTGGCGATCCGCAGAGGAGAAGCGGCCTTTGACCATCAAAGGGCAATGCAAAAGCAGCAATAACTGTACTCATTTAGGCACGCGCATCGCACTCAAACAGGCATGGTTCGTTCCGGGATCCCAGTGAAGCAGCCAAGGGCAGCCAAGCACCCAAAATGCCCGGTTGGATAATGACTGTACTCATTTGGGGTTTAAGGTTTAGGGTTGTAAGGTTTCGGCTTTAGGGCTTTAGAGACCATGCGTGGCTAGAATTAATAAGAAGCTCCTCAAGGATGATGCTCGGATCATTTTCAGCCACTCCCCTAAAAACCCAATATGTGTGACCTGAAGGCCCATGGAATCCACCGAAAAAGGCGAAGGGACCATACTACCCTCAGATCCCAGGTGAGCTGTCTGTCCTTTACCCAAAAGGAGGATATTACCTCACACCGTATTGGGTACCATAGTATAATTCTACCTGACCCTTACATAAGTTTCCATTTGATTTTCCATTTGATATTCCACCATCATGGAGCAAAATCCCTACACAATCACCGAAAATAGACTGAAACGACTCTCCTCCATACCCGAACCCTAAGCCCACCTCTATATCCCTGCAAGGATTTGGATCCCTACCCTAAGCCCTCAACGCTGAACTCTAAACCCTTAATTCCAAACACTGTGCCCTGAACCCAAAACCCTAAACCCTAAACCCAACAGACTTAAAATGCTTAAGTAGTGAAGCTCGCCTCGTCGCTCTGCCGAACCGGCTCTGCCTTAGAGGATCCGAAAACTAAGGATCCCTTTAATAATAAGGGGATTTTGGTAACCCCAACCCCCAAAATTAGGACCCCATGACTATCATATGATGGTCATAGGGTCCTAATTTTGGGGATTGGGGTTACCAAAATCCCCTAGGGGTTTAGGGGGTTTAGGGTCCAGGGGGCTTAGGGCTAGGTTGGGTAACAGAATTTTACAGTAACTTTCCTCAAATGACCCAACATATCCTAATATGCTGCTCACACCTCCTCCCTTACCTTCTCCCGGAACCCAAAATTTTGTAGATTGACTGTATGCCCTCTACTGGGTTGTCCTTTAAGCCCTTTAAAATTTATTTACTATTCTAGTTCTCTACAAAATAATAGGGGAAACTAACCAAAGGAAAACCCAGTATACCCCTTACCCCCCTGGCTGCTCGGAGCCCGGGCGGTCCGCCGAACCCAGCCGACCTTTGCTCGGCCAAAACGTAGCGGAGGGGTTTAGGGTTGGCTTGGGATTATATAGGGATAATGGAAAAGAGAACGGAAATTACTATAGTATAATAAGGTTATACTAGGGCGTACTGCAAGGAATATATACAGATATTGCAAGGTTGTAGGGCCCAACAACCGAGAATCAAACGGAACACAGGGTGACAAATCAAGTGGGACCAAATTGAAACTGGGATTGTTCAGGGATTTATTAGGGATTTAGAGTTTAAGGGCTGGATAGATTATTACACTACAAAAGGGTGATCTGTACTAGAACTTAGAAGAGGCCATAGGCTATCATCTGGTCATGACTAGTACAAAGGCTTCAAAACCCTATGGGTGATTTGTAGAGGGTGGTCGGGGAGTAGGGCGATATGGCGCACATAGGGTTCGTAGTGATTACAAATTTTTCAGCACGCCCCCAGCCTGCTACCAGACATACATGCTGCTTGAAGAGAATATAGTCCCCCTTAAGTAGATAAACTTTAGCTTCGGGTATATTGCAATAAGATCCTCATATACCCAATATTCTATCTACTTAAGGAGGGCTATAGGTCTTGAGATACTCTTTCAGACTCCCCCCTTGCAATGAGGATGACAGGCTTTGATGCGAAGAACTCTGGAGAAGTGCCAAAGACTTTGAGAAACTCCATACCCAAAAACTTCTCCGAAAGCAACCCTGATGCTCATGGGGCTTAGGCTCTGTTACCTTCAGCTTCCCCGAGAAGCGGTCCATAATTCTGAGGGACCCCCTGCAATGAAGCGCAATTGCCATGTGCCAGGCATTCTGCCCCTCCACGGCCTGGCAAAGTAGGGTTGACTTTAGGGTTTAGGAGCAGGCCAGGGCGCTCAGTAAGTAGATTGACGATGGGGATATAGGTAGCTGTTGGGGCAATATTGGGGTTATATTGGGATTCTTTGGGGAAAATGGAAAAGAATTGGAAACGACTATGATGGGTTATATAGGGTTTGGCCTGTTTCTATGTGGTTCATAGGGGCTTGTAAGTTACTTGCTAAGCTCCTTCACCCTCCAAGTGCTCAGCTTTGATCTGTCTACGTCTACCGAAGCGCATGGACAAGGTGCCGGGATGCGGCAGGGTGGCTTATAAATGTTTATAACACCCTTGAGTAGATAGTAATGATGGGTTATTCTAGTATGTTATAGTGTATACCAAAGTATACTATATCACAGTATATATGGGGTATGTGGGGATCTTACTAGAATATACCCAAAACCATATTCGATCTACTTAAGGGGGACTATAAGCACTTCGTGAGTCTTGCTTGTGGAGGAGTGGATCAATCTAGTACTCCCCCAAGAAGTACTTATAACCCTGTCCTTCATTTCCTACTAACCACCGGCAAGGAATTTCTGGGTCCAAGTTTGCGTTTCATTGAAAAAGTTATGCTCCAGCAGGCAGGGGCACAACCAAGGGCTTGTCACCCTTTTTTTAACTGGACCCTCCACCCAAGGATGGTGACTATAAGGGATAATAAGGATTATATTAGGGTCCTACTATATTCCTATTATCAGGGCGGGGGGTCCTCCTAACCCTTTGTCATCTCTACTCTGCGATGGCAGTGACCGGCACATCTGGCTCAGTCTCCAGAACTTTATCTGTCTCACAGGTTCGACAGTGGCAGGTGAAGCCAAACTTCTGCATCTTTCGCTGTCGCACCTGAAGTGGCTTGCCCACCACTGAAGGCACATAGGCCATCAGCACTTCGTCCCCAGGTACCAAGGGCCGCCGTGTGACAGAATACACCCAGAGTCCCGGGCCTTTGGCCTCCGGCTGACTCGCAGTAGCAAATTCGATGCGGCAGTTGGGCAAACAAGAATGGTTCGTAAATGCCAAGGCCTCACACAGGGCGGTGCCGATGATGTTTTCAAAAAGCTGACCAGCTTGGCCTGCTGCTAAAGGATCCGAGGCAGCTTCTTCTGCCCCACCTTCTCCGGGCTCAGACTCAGAGTCGCTTTGGAGGGGTTCTTGGAGCTGGACTATAGCTTTGGCCAGGTCCTCTGTGAGGTATTCAGCTGCATGTCTGTGGCTGTTTAGGGGGTGTGGGAGGCTGATGCACATGTTCACCAGTTCAAATGTCCCAAGCACTCGGCTGAGCATTTCAGCCTCCAAAAAGTCTGCTGCCAGGACCTCACCTTCAAAAATTGCACAAAGGAGAGGCATCGCTTTGGACAGGCACTGCCGCCTTTCTTCTGGCGTATCGCTGCCCCCATCCTCACTTGCAAGGCTTTCCCACGGAGCTGAAGCAAACTGATCCGCAAAGCGGTGTCTGACCTCATCCAACGGCTGGCCAGACCTTCTTGCTAGCATCATGCACGCGACATGATGTGCCAGCAGTAGGAGGTGTTCAGAGTCCGTCTCGCTAGCAAGGTGCTCCAAACTTTGTAGAGCCTCCCAGCTACTGGGACTAAGGCGACCCGCGCAGAGAATGGCGTGAGAGGATTCCGCCAGTGCCCATGACCGGCACAGCTCGCTGCAGAAGACCTGTGCGCAGCCAGCTCTCTCACAAGCAACAACCTGACCAGGGGAGAAACCCACAGGGCAAGCTTCGTCCGGATACGTGGACAGCAAGACTGTCTCTGCCCCTGGTGGCGGCTCCAAGTTCATGTATCTGAGCTGTGAAGCTAAGCTGCCCACCGGCAGCAGGCAGGCGGTACATACTTGAGCGCATTGGCGGCTTCCTGGCGACTGGATGTACGCCAAGGGCCGTTCCTTCCAAAGATGTGCACCCCATGTCTGGTAGCTCGGGACGTACAAGCCTCGTCCTTGTCCACTGCAAGTCTCTCTGACCACGCACTCCTCGAAGCGGGCAAGAACAACTGGATTGTCAACCTCGTCGCGCTTGGTGAGAAAGTCTTCAAGCACCCTTGCATACTGCTCAGCTAGGTGTGTGCTGACGCCTCGGGCTATAGCAGCTCGCAAGACTTCCCTGGCGCTGTCGTAGTCCTGCTTGAAGATGCTAGTAGTGAAGTTATCAATCCAGTTAGGGTCGGGACCGCTTCCCAGAACTCCCGCGCCAGTGATAAGCTTCTCCCGCGGCGAGATAGCCATGCAAGCACGCACAAGTGCAAGTCAGATGTCGTTAGATTTTCTGTGGCCTCTAGTTAGACTCTAGTATGGTTTCATTCATGCAGATAATTTGTGGCTGAGCGGTAAAATTCCTCTCTCTGATACTAGAATCTGCTCATGTTCCTTCTTAGTCTTTGCATCAGCGATTGAAGCCAAGACTACTGGGGCGATGAAAGCCTGCAGCCACTGTAAATGCCTATTATTTTTCTATATGAAGGGGTATACATTGTCACATAGGGTTGTCTATAGTAATATATACATATAGGCATACTTTGGGTTATCTTTGGTAATATGAACATATAGAGGGTTCTATAGATCCGGACAGTCTCCGCTTCGCTTGCGCCTCGAACATCTGCTCCGCGAACATCTGCTCCACGGGCATCCCAGATTCTAACCTGGGTTGCTGTTGAGGACCTTAATTAAAGGTACTATTTCGGGGAATTGATTACCATATATACCCGATTTGGTAACTTAATCCCAAAACTCTAATCCCTAAAACCTATATACCCTATATACCCTATACATATATACCCGTAATGGTAACTTATCTGGTAGTTTCCCAAAATAAGGGCAACCCAATATGGACCCCAATATATTATAGTCCTTATTATGGGGACCCCCAAAATGGTACCCCTATTCTTGGGAAACCCTAATCCCTATAATCCCCTACATAAACACAGTTTCCATTTCATTTTCCATTTGATTCTCCATTATAGTAGGTACCCCTGATTTTGGGAAACCCCTGTCTAAAGTTCCTTAAACCCTTTTTGAACCTGGGACTCACAACAGAAGTTCCTTCAACCCTAAACCCTAAATACCCTATATACCCTATATACCCTATATACCCTATACATGTATACCCGGTATGGTAACTCAAACTTAAGTTCCTTAACAGCAGCCCAGGAGCTTCTTGGCTCGGAGCTCGAGCGTACTTTTCGGGCATCCTGGGAGCCGCTACATGACGCAGGGGCTTAGGGTTTTTTAAACGGACCTTTTTCCAGCTTACTTTGTGGGGCTTAGGGCTTAGGGTTTAGGGTTTAGGATCTAGGGTTTAAGGTTTAAGTTTTAAGGTTTAGGGTTTAGGCTT